ATAATTTTTCCTTTGGCATTATCTCCAAACGTCATATGACCTCCATCTTTCTTCTTGAAGTTACATAGTAATGATTTGTGTCTGGTCATGTGCTTTGAACATCCACTATCCAAGAACCATTTTCTTCGAATTTTTGTTGGTACCTACAAAAATAATTTAAATTTTTGACTTTTGATAACCATATTAATTTGGGTTCTTGATAGTTAGTTTTTGTGGATTCTTGAATCCACTTATACTTATTTTCAAAATATAGTCTCTTCTTAACAAGACAGTTATATTCAATATGTCCAATCTTATTGCAAAAACTACATGTAGTCTTAGAAGTAGAAGTTTTTGAAGATTTAACAAATATGTTTTCAAGAGATTTTTTCTTTTAAGGATGGTTTGTAGCCCAATTCTCCTTTGTTGAAGACACATTTTTAATCCCCAAGCATCAAATCAAAAATTTTCTTTTCTTGGGTAAACTTGTGAACGATTTTTTTTCAAATCATCTACCTTTTCTTTAAGAAAATGATTTTCTTTGACCAAACAATCATATTTATCATTTTCCTTTTGATTTTCCAAAAGTTTCTTTATTTCATCTTTTAATAAAGAATTTTTCTTTTTGAGCATAGAATGACTTTTGGCAAGTTTTTCAAAATTTTCAAGTATTTCATCATAACAAGTCGATAATTCTTCAAATGAAAATTTTTCTATAGGACTTACCTTTTCCTCAATAGTAATGAAGCACATGTTGGCAATTTCGTCTTGGCTACTATTTTCATTTTGATCATCATTGTCACTATCATCCCATGTAACTTGTAGTGCCTCTTTTTGAAATTTTTCCTGTTGTTGGGACATTCGATTCTTTTGTTCCTGGGTTTGTCACAATTATAGCAAATGATTTTCTTGTTCTTCTCTTCTCCATTTTCTTCCTACTTTTGAAATTTTCATGTGCTTCGAAAATTTTTCCATTTGTTGACAAGAAGAACTAAATTGTCCAATTCTTCATCACTTGAATTTTCATTGGACGTACCTTCATCAATTGCCGATTTGAGAGCAATTCGGCGTTTTGAAGACTCTTTGGATTCCTCTTTGCTTTTCCTTGTCTTTTCTTTGATTTCGGCATTGTTGATTTCATAGGTCATTAGTGTCCCATATAGGTCTTTCAATCGATATGTGTTGATATCCTTGGTGTTTTCTATCAACATTCTCAATAGGCTCCAATCTTCCGATAATGAACTAAGCATTTTACTTACAAGTTCACTGTTAGTAAATTTGTGATCAAAACCTTTGAAACCATTTATAATATTGGTAAAGCGAGTAATCATATCAATAATAGGTTCATTTTGTTTCATGAAGAAATTTTCAAATTCCTTAACTAAGAGATTAATCTTTGTTTCTTTGACTTTACTAGTGCCGACATGAGTGACTTCTAATACATGCCAAATATCATATGCGAAGTCACATGTACTAATGTGATTGAACTCATTTTTGTCTGATGCACAATAAAGAAGATTCTTAGCTTTTGCATTTAAGGATAATTTTCTTTTATCTTCTTCATCATATTCTTCCCTAGGTTTGGTAATGACTTGATCAGGTAGGCCATCTACCTTAACAGTCTTAGTAGGTTTATAAGGTCCATATTCAATCACTTCCCAAATGTTGTAATCTATAGATTGAATGTAAATCATCATTCTAGCCTTCCAATAATTTTAGTATCTTCCATAAAAGAAGGGAGGTCGGTTGGTAAAATCTCCTTCAAGAGATTGAAACATTTAGTTAGCCATTTACTCTAGATTGTGAAGTCTAAGAAAGTGAATACCAATTGACAGCCCAAGACTAGCTAACAAAGACGGGGGGGGGGGGGGGGGTGAATTGGTTATAGCAACTTTTTCAAAAAATAATTCTAAGTATACAATTAATAGTTACTTGAATATAGTAATTAATCAAATGTTCTTAAATATAAAAAAGAGCAAAGACTAAGATGAAATCACAAGTAATAAATAAAAGCAAAGATAAGTAAAAGGGAAGAGAAGTCAAACAATATGATATGGAGGTTCGATCCAATGCAATGATCTACGTCCCCCGTTACCAAGCTCTTCATCACGAGCAAGGCATTTCTCACTATACTGATTGACTTATGGTGCAATCCAACCTTTTCACAATGCTTCCGATGAGTTACAAACAAGGTGCACCGATCCTTTTACACCATTGAGATTTTCAAGACCTCAACTCGACCCACAAGTTTGAAAATTAAGAGTTTACAAATAGAGACTTCTCTTGTAATGAATGATGTATTTGGAGTTGAGTACAATAAGAGAAGATGACTAACACTTTAGTAGATAGCAATAATTGAAGCTCAAGTGTTAAATAAAAAAAAACTTTGATGAATAGAATGATTTTCAAAGGTTGAATCAATCAAAAGTTTTTCCAATGTAAATGAATTGAAAAGATAGATATAGAAAAATGATTGAGTAGCTAAGATCAATAATATCTCACTTTAATGCTTACAAAAAGTCTATATTTGAATGCAAAATAATCTGGTATTTATAGCAACAAAATCGTCAAAAATTTTGTCTTATCGGACGTGGCTATTGGACGTCTGCTAGCTTATCAAACGGTCAACTAACCATTTTTGTTCAGAAGTCAGAACATTCAATTTCTTGACCATTGGACAAACCTGCCATACCAGACGCGTCCACCAGAACTACCAGATGCGTCCTCTAGGCCAACTTGTTCTAATAGCTATAAATTTTCCTTCTTTTAATGTTTTAAAAAGATGTAATCTCATGAAGGATGTTTCTAACTTGTTTTTCAAACTTTTTGACATTTCTTAAATTGTATAATAGGTTCATGCATTAAGAAAAACTGTTTATGCACAAATCGTGTTTGTTGTGCGAAAAAACTTTTCTTGAGCTTCAAATGACTTAATTGTCAAATACTAAAGCGTTTTACCTTAACATTTGAGATCAAGGTATCTAATTCTAATTTCTTCTAATCTCATCTTCGTTTGACTTGATGAAGTGCTCATTACCTTGATATGTAGCCCAGCTTCTACTTTGTTAAATTTGCGAAAGCTCCAAAAGCATCCTTTTGTCCACGTTTGTTATAATTTCTATAATCACTCGAATACAATTATTAAATATAATTTGTTTGTTATAATCAAAACGAGAAATCAACTGTAGGTCAATAGTAAATACCCAAGAAAGCATTTACACTAATTGTAACTGAAGTGGATGTGCATTTACAACAATAGGAAGGAGATGCATTTTGATAAGAAAACTATAATTAAGAAGTAACAACTTACAGTGTCGATTCATACTAATGAGCTGATAAGAAAAATATAATCAAGAAGTGATGACTTACAATAAAATTGATAATAATCAGAAAATTCTGTACAGCAGAATATGCATTCTACGTTAGTACAGTGATTATATGCCTCGAAATGATTATGCACTTGTGAATAATAAAGAAAAGGTAGCATTTTAAACACTTCAATGATTTCAAAATCCTCGCACACCTTTCCTGCTTGTGAAAAGAACTCGTAAACATCTCTCCCAGTGGCCTTAATTGGCATCTTCATAACAAGAAAAGATAGGAAATCAATAGTCATTGAGCTGATTTAAAAATGACTGGTTATTCCAGACGTAAATCAAGTGTGCCAAACCTGGTATGCAAAAATAGTTCTTTGATCCCTTTCTGGATCAACTTCCAGGCTCTACTGCTTCTTTCTCTTCCTTAAATCTCCAACATAACCCACTCATAAAAATATGAGTATAAATCCAATAGTAGGAACACATCAACATTAAGATATATGAAGCTTTTGTTTGTGTTCTGGAAACTGTACACTACACCAACAATCACTTTTTGCAACAGGCAAAAAACGTTGTCGTAGATCTATTGCAACGTTTAGGCGTCTGTTGTGGATTTCAACGTTGCCATAGAGCGAAGAGTTTTGACAATGTTCATTGCGCGTTGCGGAAACTTGATTTTGGCAATTGCATTGAACGTTGCAGTCGAAAGATGTTTTGGCAACGTTCATTGCACGTTGTCAAAACTCAGTTTTGGCAACGTGCATTCAATGTTGCCAAAACACCCTTTTGGCAACATTCAATGCGGGTTGCAAAAATTGAGTTTTGACAACGTGCAATGAACGTTGCGGCAATATTCAATGCGCGTTGCAAAAACTGAGTTTTGGCAAGATGCAATGAACGTTGCGGCATGCAATGAACGTAAAACCAACGTGAAATACAAGTTGCAAATGAATTGCACGTTGCTGCAACGTTCATTGCACATTGCCAAAACCAACGTGAAATACAAGTTGCAAATGAATTGCACGTTGCTGCAACGTTCATTGCACATTGCCAAAACCAACGTGAAATACAAGTTGCAAATGAATTGCACGTTGCTGCAACGTTCATTGCACATTGCCAAAACCAACGTGAAATACAAGTTGCAAATGAATTGCACGTTGCTGCAACGTTCATTGCACATTGCCAAAACCAACGTGAAATACAAGTTGCAAATGAATTGCACGTTGCTGCAACGTTCATTGCACATTGCCAAAACCAACGTGAAATACAAGTTGCAAATGAATTGCACGTTGCTGCAACGTTCATTGCACATTGCCAAAACCAACGTGAATACAAGTTGCAAATGAGACTTTTGACAACGTTCAATGAACGTTGCCGTAGGTCGTTTACAATTTTTTCCCCCCTATTTGTATAACAATTTACCAAATTAACCACAAAGCAGATTGATCAACAAAGCAGCCATAAACCACAGGTAGAATTATTGAACAATTTACAATAATATTGATCACTGCACATATCAATATGACTACCAACCATACAATAATAGCAGCCATAAACCAGATTGATCAACAAAGCAGCCACATCATTTTTCAGTCATATTAGTGCTTCTGGTTTGTATAAAACTGGTGATCAGTTTTTCATTAGGCAAGAAGTTCGTAATGATGGATCATCAATCTGTTACCACAGTTCGTAAAGATGGCTATGTTAAAGCTAAATCAGAAAAAAACATTTAGGCATCGAAGACAACAATTGTAGAACCAAAGGTGTACGTGAGAAAGAATAAGTAACATCTTATTGCCAATTTCTTCTCCATTTCCATTACAATAGTTCTCGATAGAAAAGTGCACTTTGAAACAGCTAATATATTCAACAATTCTCAGCGTCAGCCATGCTTCCACCATGCAAAACAAGTCAGCCAAACATACGACTGAGTTGCTGAACTTATCCTTCTTGTATGTGCAAATGGAACCAACCCTTGGACAACCCTTATGTTTTTTTCAAAGGTTGTCCTCTTCTTTTCTTCCTCTTGGTTCTCCATCTGTTGCAAAATCTTTCACCATGGATTCAAGAGAAATACTTGCAGTTTGCATCTGCACAGATGCGTTCCCCATTGTTGAACTACCTGGTTCATTAAGAGGACGACGATAGTCGAATCATTTATTAAATCATCGTCCGAATCAATCAATTGGCATTCAATAGGTATCTTTTTCTTCTCCTCTAACGTATATATGCAAAGAAACAGGTAGAATTTGAGCCCAATTTACAAAAAGTCAGAGTCCATTCTATATTATGAGTGCACAACAATTCAACCTTCTTCAGTACTAACATTAAATTTCGAGTGACTTCGGTAAAAGAAATTTATGTAAAACCAACACAAAAATGAAGAGAAGTCCATGTAAAAGCTAATATATGGTCAGATGAAATAACCAAGAGAACGTTTATGCTAAAAGTAGGAATTTATAATTAAAACTGAACATTCCCATTCAAAAATTCCAAGCCCTCAAAACTAAAACCTAAAAATGTGAAAAAAGCACTGAAATCCAAATCTGTCAATATATTACTTCTTGGCTGTTACTCCCATCACATGAAGAATATGTTCAATGATACATCATCTACATTCTTTCCTTTTAATTTTTCATTTGGTATGCTTCAGTTCTTTGTAGACAAGCTTATCAATTCTCTTTGGGATATAAATGCTAATAAAGGGGACAAGGTGCAATGCGCATCAAAGTTCAGGGGATCTCTTCTACTATTTTCCCAAAGTAAAATATAATAAATTTATCAGGATAAAATAAAAAGAAAGTAAGTTTAGGGTCGTAATCTTTGATTCGCTAATTCACACCTAAACTCAGCCAATCCCACCCTTGAATTTGCAAGATCAAACTCCATCCACATATTTTGCTGGTGATGATGTCCAATAATATAAGCCTCCACACCCAGCAAATCTGAGTTCCCAAATGTGAAACAATATATTGAATCACTTCCTCTGCTTGCGCCTCCAACTTTGTACAATAATATCTCCCCAGTAACACTCATTTCCACTCCTCTAAAAATCAAATTCACACTTGGCAATGGAGGTCAAACTCTTCTATTCTGCTCAATTCTGTAGCACAAATCCATAGACCCTTGAAACACAAAATTGGGATCTTCTAATTTCCTTAAAACACCTCTAGTTTGATTCATAATTGCTGAATTTGTTTATGTACGTTGAAATTGAGAATTAAAAAGAAACTAGAGGTGATTAATCAAAAAAATTTCTGAACAATAACATCATAGACCAAAACAAGAGCCTGGTATACCCCCCTCCCCGCCCACCCCCAACACACATAAATACGAATCACATTCACAGGGAAAATATACAAATTTCAAGAGCATATCAATAATGAGTACCTGAAGGAACAGAATTAGAGTGGTTGCATTTTGAAAAGACGATAAAGGACTGAATGCACGAATAGCAACACAGCTTCCCTGAATCTTGTCTGGACTCATTTCGACACTAACAAACGATCTTGATTTCTCTCTTATCCTTTGCCCTAGAGTATCATGCTATTCTTGTGTATGCATATAGTGTGTGTGTGTGTGTGTGAGAGAGAGAGAGAGAGAGAGAGAGAGGTGGGAACAGTTACGTCGTCGTTTCGTCTGTTCGCGGTTCTTCCCCCCTCATACTGTGAAGAAGACAGAAAAGGGTGAAAAAAATACTGTAGAGAAACCGACACCCAGACTCGATCAACACCACTAATCTTATAGTGGCCACGCAGATTGCAGAGCGAGATAGAGGGGGAAGAAATTGAGAGTGAGAGTGAGAACGGTGGCGGGGAGAATGAGAGAGGGGGGGTACTTTTTAAAATAGCTTGGTCAAACAATCAATTTTTCATTTTGACCATTTTTTTTGTATTCACCACATTGGCCTATTGTCATTAAAAAGACAATTCTACCCTTATTCATGTTTAATAATTACAAAAGTATATCAATTGTTTAAAAGACAATAATACCCTTAATAGTTTAAATAAATTCTGTTACTTCCATACGTAAATTTCAAAATCAGTTTTGGTTTATCAGTTTCTCCAATACAGTAAAAAAAAAATTTTTCCTTCCATCTGCTAAAATATTGAAATCTCCCAAAATTATCAAAGGTTCAAGAAAGAAACAATACTCACAGTTGGCACTGGAAATTGGTAAGTGTAAATACGTATTTTGAATTTTGTTTTAGTTAAATTTACTGTTTGAATCTAGTCTTTAAACGTTGCGAAAGGGGGTATTAGCAACAACCACTCAAAGAACGTTGCTAAATCTTAATTTTCTCAACCAACGGCAATATGCATTTGCTGAATGTTGCAATAAACCTCTTTTAACAACATACAATTGGTGAATGTTGCCATTTAAATGTTGTAAAAGGCCATTTTTCTTGTAGTGGTAGTAAAAACAAAATCCCAAACCCTTGGTTATATTCTCCCCAAGGTTATGTATTTCCAGACCCACAAACTTAAAATTTGCAACCATCATATGAGTGAATTGCACTTGACATGGCTAAAACCTAGACCAGGAAAAATGTTTTTTCATGAAGTAACAAGAAATCCAACATAGTAGATAATTTTTCCACAGGTTATAAATAGGTTATATCATGAGCATTATAGGAGAAAATGATCTAGTCATTTTACCAAGTCCAGCTTGAGACATTCATACAGTGGCAAAAAGATGAAGATAAGAATAGTGAAAAACTGTTGAACAAAAAGATAATCAGATCATTTATACATTGAAAATAAATGTTGGTAAAAATCTCCAAAGTCATGCTCAATTTTGCAGCTAGGGAACAATTTTAAGAAACCAATCTTATGTTCATCATATTTAAAAGTTAAAAGGACAAAAAAGGAGGTCTACAACTTTTCTCCTTAAATTCATGAAGCATTCTCCATTATAAAATGTGTTATGAGTTCCAAAACTTTACACGCAATCTATTCACATTTTGTAATAGTTGGGTCAATTCCAAATAGAGACATTTGCTATTTATAATCCCTGTTCAGAGCAAAGGAATGCCAACATCTCAGCTTATAGGTGAGAAAGTAACCTTAAATCCAGCTATGCAAAACATTTGAAGATGGAAGAGTACACCAAATCTTAAAGCCCAAATAAAGAAACTCAACAGACCTTATCAAACTCAATATGTGGAAAAGCCATTTTCTTCAATGAAGAAGCCTTCAAGTGGATGAAAGACTAATTACTATAAAATAATTTTTTCTATTGTCATAATATCAACATCTATGCACGACACTGTGGAACCAACTCAATCAAATATAAATAAAAAAGTTGCTTTATATCACTTTTGCATTAACAAACTAATAGTATTAAAACTAAATTCCATTACCTTTATTCACATATATTGATCCAGGTTGAAGACTATCATGTGCTTGTATGATGCTCTGCTCAATGCCATCAACAAGGGCATCAAAGGATTGGCGCACAAAACCAAAGGATGTTACAAGATATACAAAATATTGAAGATAACCCCCTGGGCCGGCATGGGTATGAGTGGCACTAATAGCAACATTGTTTTTTGTGTAAAGATTTCCATACATGTAATAGCAACATCAGCCCATTAATCAAATATCCACAATATTAAAACACTACTAAAACAGGACAAATTCATCATATTATTCCTGCAATTCTAACAATCGATTTCTAACAACAATTGACTCCGTGTATTTGATAGAATCCCTTTAATTAATTGATAACCTCTCTCCAGTTTAATCAACTCCACATTATTAACTCAACTCATTATTTGCACGTAAATTAAAATTATTCCTTAATTAAGGCATTCAATATCTAAAAACTCAATTAAATACAAACAAATAGCAAAAGTATATTGCTACCTTTCAATGTTCACCTTAACAAAGAAATTAGTAAACGATATAATTGAAGAAAAACCGAATTTTTGAATTACTTCTTGCATTGAAGAAAAATAAACCTTACCTTAAATCCTCCTTCAATCTTGAATTTGATTTAAACTCATGCTTTGTATTGTGTTTTCTTCCATAGAAGAGTACAACGTTGCTGTATATAGAATGCCAATCTTTAACCAAAATTTTTTCCTTTATATAACCCTCGGCTGCCTTGAAGATTGCCAAAGTACTTTCAGGCTCTCGAACGAAGACGACAAGAGAGTAGAAGAGAGACGAGGCAGGAGAGAAAGAGGCAATGAGAGGGAATTATTAGGGTTGTATTCATGTTTGGTTTTCAATCTTTTCTTTTCTTTTCTTTTCTTTTCTTTTTCAACTATGTGGATCGGGTTGGGTCAACCCATTAATCGACCCAACCCAACTCGCCTTGTTAGTCCAAAGCCCTAATCTACATTAATGTTGCAAAATGTTACAACTTTTCTCAACGTTTATCAAGATATTGCAAAAGAGAAACCTTTATGCAACGTTTGATCTTTTTGCAACGTCTATCAAATGTTGCAGAAGATACACTTTATGCATCGTTTAATAAACGTTGCAAAAAGTTTATCTTCCGCAACATTTAATAAATGTTACGAAAATGTTTCTCTTTTACAACGTTTAAGAACAGTTGCAAAAGATAAACTTTTTGCAACGTTGATCAAACGTTGTGAAATAGGCCTTTCATAATGTTTGGTAAATATTGCAAAAATAACAATTTTCACAACACCAAATAAATGTTGCAAAAGGCGATATTAGCAATATTCACTTAAAAAATTTACAAAATCTCAATTATTAATACGAATGGCAACATTCAATTATTAGAATATTTCAATCGACCCTTTTAGTAACATTTAATTAATGAATGTTGCCTTCTACATGTTACAAAAATACTTTTTTTTTTTTTTTGTACTGAAAAAAGTGTCTAACATATGGTGGACTTCTAATATAAGAGGCCTAACAAATAATGGAGTGTTTGAGATAGACAGAAAAGCAAAAACTGTCAAAATCTCGACTAGGGTTTGCACCACGTAACACCACTACTCGAGCGGTAGTCTCGTGGCCAGCAAGTGATGCATCCACCACTCAAACACTTAGCGAGCGATGGAGTTATTGCAATTTTTGCTCAAGCACTACTTGTACGATTTGCGAACGATTTTCACGCAATTTCTTCTTCTCATCCATCTTTTTTACTTCTTCAAGGCATGCTACCAATTTCTAATAGAGTTCTCAATAGAATTTCTAGTAGAATCTGGGTCACTCTTGAACTCTAGCAAATCTCCACTTTGATATGAATTCCAATGCAAGAAATAAAACTTCACTCTTCAACACAAAAACTCTCCATCTCTTCCACAAAAGCCCTTAAGGGCAAACTCAACAACAAATACCAATTAAGTTCAAGCAATGCTCAAACTTGACTATAGGGAATGACTTGGTTATCCTATTAGGAGGATTATCTTGGGTACGAACTATGCAGACACCCATATCAATTTCTTCATTGAGCTGGACTTTCACCCTTCTTATCTTTCCCTTATCCTTGACTTATATCATCATATCATCAATATATAAGGTAGATATTTAAATGATTCATCACCATACTTTTTAAAGTAAACACAGCTATCATAACTGCTTCTCTTGAAGTCATGAGTAATAATAAATGAGTCAAACATTTTTATATCACCGAACATCTTTAAACTGATAGCACAACCACCAATAGTAAAAACATACCATGTAAGAGATGTTCTCTTTTAAAGTTCTCCAACAAAATCAGAATCAATATAACTTATTTTTTATGTAGAAGGTTCTTAATTGGAATCAATACCTTTGGCCACACTCAAAGCATAAGCAATCAAATAAGCTTTATCGTACTTATGTGGAGGTCTAATATCTTTTCAAGGTCTACTTTTAGCAGTAGAATAACATTGTTTATCTGAGAGGAAATTATTTGCATTTATATATATGAAAAATTAACGTTGAATAACTTAAATTGATTCATGCAAAGTGTTTAGTGAAAATGAGAATGTTAAAAAGTGATATTAGCTGTCACTTTTATCGGAAAATGTTGCATTAATGTCATTCAGATTCCTTGAAACAATTAAATAGAAGCATGTAGGTGTGTGTTTTTGAAAATTTAAATATGAAAACAAACTCAAACATTGTTTTAATTAAAACATGATATGATGTAATGAATTGGATTGAGTTAATATATGAAAGTCAACTTTGGATCAATTCAAGTGATACATGCAAGGTGTTGTGAAAATAAGAGTGAGAAAGGTGACAATCTCTGTTGCCTCTTTTTTTTTTTTTTTTTTTTTTAATTGTCGAAATCTATCTCATTTAAATTCTTTAGGATCAATTAAATAGATGGATACATGTGTGTTTGTGAAAATTTAAATATGAACATGAATTGAAACTTTTTTTTGCATTAAAAAGTGACATGGTGTAACACTTTATTTATATTTTGCATATGAATTAATATGCTAAATTTTGAATGTGACATTATGTGTCACTTTTTTTACTTTTTTAAAAATGGTTGCAATGTATCTTATTTGAATTTTTTAAAATCAATTAAAAAGATGCATACATGTGAGAATTTAAATATGAATATGAATTTAAACATTTCTTTACATTAAAGGTGACTTGATGTAACACTTTGTTTATATTTTTTTCATGTGTTAGTTTGTCAAAAATTAAAAGTGATATACTCTGTCACTTTTTTTAAAAAAATTCTAGCACTATTATATTTTTAAATATGTATAAGATTAATGTCATCATTTATTGTGACGGCAAATGAAAACAAGATAACAAATATAAAAGTGATAAAATAATTGAAATTGTTGTCCAATCAATAGAATGCACAAATAACAACTTTGTTAAAACGTAAATGTACTTTTTTGTTTAAAAAGTAACATATCTTGTCACCATTTTAAGAAGCTAAAAAAGTGAGAAAAAACCGAAAAAGTAATAAAATCTGAAAAAGTGATTTGTATTACACATGAATCCCTATTTTATACACTACAGATAGTAGTGTGTTAAACAACTTTTTTTTTTAGTATATTTTGATACATATATGTAGTGTTTTATATTGACACAGCATATAAATTGTTTTGGCATTTGTATGTGTCAACAATGTGTCAAGTGGGATAAAAGGTGCAAGTGTCGGAGGCAAGATAATGTTGATAATTTGGAGATATATGATATAAAATTTTACTTCTTATTTTGCCTTCAAAAATACCTCAACATGTTCTATTTATGGATATCAAGATGACATAGGAACTAACAAAGTTTAAATCAGATCCATCAGACAAGAAACTCAATTCCGCACTGCTGCTGAGTCGTCGGGCTTATCCACCAAGGGATTCTGATATTGACAGCAAGCTTTGTCTCATCTTCATGAGCAGCCACCAAAAGAAGACTTTGCCCCAAAGCAGTCATTGATAAATTCTTCCCCCAAATCACCAATATACTCATCAATGGGAAGTTCAAGGTCTAAAGCTCGGGCCCTGTGATGCTTAGGGTTGGGCCCATCATACTCTTTGAACATATATAAGTTTTCCACGCTTGTTGAACGGTCAAACTACTTGGGAGGAATGAATAACATAATGGAATACAATCAAAATGGAAGTTCTGCCTTCTCAATGAAGAAGGGGTTTGTCTCTTACATTTAATGAATTCAAGACGACTCCTCAAACTACTCACTAAGCTATAAAATTCTATGAGACACTTGACTAGAGTCGATATATAAGTTACTATCCCCGTCTCATAAAGATAGATTTGTTTCTATTTTTACTCATAAATAAGAAAATATAATTACCATAGTTGGAAATATAAGTGTGTGTTTGGTTTGTCATTTTCAGTCTTCAGTTTTCGAAAATACTCAAAACGTGTTTGGTATGTTATTTTCAAAAATGTGATTTTGAAAACAAGGAAAATTTTATAACATAAAACTCAAAACGATGTTTTGAGCGTTTTTTTTGTAAACACTCAAAAAACTCAAAACGAGGAAAATGAGCTTAAAATTTCCCAAATTAAAATAATTAATAAAATCACTCAAAACTTACGTAAATACAAATAACCCCCCCCCCCCCTCTCCTCTTCCTCCCATACTCCTCCAAAATGTCTTAAAACTATTTATAGAAGAGAAATACCTCTTCGAAGTCTTCACTTTCCTTTTTTACTTGAATCGTTTTACAACCAAAATTGAGTTATATGTGTTGATGGAGCCATCTGTATTGATCTTTGGTTCGAGTATCCATTTTTTAACAACTGAAGATTTCTGTGAAGGTAAAAACAATAAGCTTCCATGAACTATTTTTTATTGCATTGATTTCTTCATTCATGGTTTGAATCTTCTTTTCTTCTTTTGATGCTTCTTTATATGTAATTGGATCTTCACTTACAAAGAATGTAAAGTATACCAAATCTGCTTCATTCACTTCTTCAAATTCCTCATAAGTTTTTCTAAAACTTCTTGTCTTTCTTCTAGTCATCGATGGTCTATTTTGAGGAGATTCAGTTTTTTGACCAACATCAGGCTGTGATAATTGAGATTTATTCCCTTCAAAATGGAGAATATGCCAATTTGATGAACTTTAAAAAAATTAACAAATTATAAAAAGCTTTCTCATTAAAACGGACACCTCCAGTAACCCCCCTTCCTTTTTGGTCTTACCCCCCCCCCCCAAACCCCCCCCCCCCCCCCCGTTTTTTCCCCCCTTCCTTTTTGGTCTTTGGATCGAAAACCTTGTAACCCTTATTCTTTTCAAAGTAGTCAATAAAGATGCATTTTTCAGATTTATCACTAAGTTTAGTGAAGAATTTGAAAAATGTGAAAAAGCATGACAACCAAATGTTCTCAAGTAATGTACATTCCTTCCATACCAAGCCTCATCTGTTCTGGAATTGATCGAGCTCTTTGTAGGTGATCTATCAATTAAATAAACAGTCCATGAAATTGCCTCAACCAAAATTCGGACGACATATATTCTTTCTTCAGAATACATCTAGCCATTTCCATAATCGTTCTAACTTTTAGTTTGGGATTACCATTTTGTTGTGGTGAATATTGAGCTGTTATAACATTACTTTGGGCACCCTTTAAACTGTAGTCTTTCTTAAAAACTGAAAATTTAGGTGCCAAATCGGTCGTACTACAACTTGAAAATCTTTCTATTAAAAGTTTCCTTACTGGTGTAAATTAAAAATCAAGATTGAGAGGAAACAAGTTATTTGAGCCAAACCAATGTTTGCAACCAGATGGTGCAAAAGTTATCAAAAATGTGAATATCAA